TGGCGAATTTTGTACTAAGTTACATACTTTTTTTCTATAAGAGTCGCTTTGTGCACGCTTTGACTCAAATTTTTATTATTTATGACTTAATTATGTCGCTCTCTCACTCCAGCTCTCGAACTCGAACTCGCTCCCGCTCTCTCTTTATGTAACTTAGGTCCTACCTACCCTAAAAATAGAAAATAAAATAAAATAAACAATTCTATTAGATATTACTATAACACACTATACTAAAAAATATATTAAGTGTACTATTTTTATTTAAAAAATAAATTGTTCCAATATACTGTTACATTATGTCCCAATAACATAATGTGACTATTTTTTTAAATAGCTTTTTTTTTTTTTTTTTTTTAGATTTAAAATTTTCAGTTTAATATACACCTTACCTTTCTTATTGATGGAAAAAAAGTCTTCTCGAGCTGTCTTGAGATGTGAAATCATGAAGTGTTGAATGGATAAATGAATATTTTGTGAATTTTATAACAGCATGGGGCATTTTTTCTCGTGACTGTCACTCATATATATGCATAAATACGACACTTGCATTTATATCTTTTCCATCTTTCATTTCATTTTAGTTTTTTTAGACACAATTGTTTATTTAAAATCATTTGGTTAACTTAGATGTTGGAGTAAACTGAAATTACTACCCTCTTTAAATTTAATATTTTGTTCAGGTTAGACTACCTTTTAACGTTGGGTAAGAAAATGAGTAATAAAAAATTTTAGATCAAGAAGGAAGAAAGAAAATATTTTACAATCACACAATATTCGTAACAAATCGATAAGAATATATTGCCCAAAGTATTAGAGAAAAAATGAAATTGTAATATTCTCTAAAATGTAATATGTGGGAATAATTTGAATCAGTTAGATACATCAATTTTATACTATACAAATGTTTAACACATTTTCCAATAATTTAATTTGAATTAATTGTCATGAGTACTAAATTTGCTTATAAATAGCTTAAATATACTCCAGAATGTATCTTACTAGACATATACTGATGGATGTTAACCGATAGAGGAACTCAATTCAATATTAACAAAATCATATATATATATATATATATATATATATATATTTCAATTATTTGAAATCAGTTACAAGAATTCTTTTTTGTTATTTTAATATACTCACACACAAACTTAGTTAAAACATTTTTATATTTCTATTCATATTAATTTTGGTCTTCTCATTCTTTCAGGTTGCATCACCTTCTTCTTCTTAAAAAAAATAAGGTTGAGGATTTAAGTTCCAGTGTTACAAAATAAGTGCATCATCAAATTATACCAATTAAAATAGATTTGAACGATATGAATGAATTCAAAACTTTAAAAAAATGGTGGTCAAAATTATTATACAAGAAATAATATAAAAAGACAACCTTAACAACAGGGTATAGTAGAGCTTGAGGAGATCATGATACTTTGGGAAAGTTCACTGGAATGATGAATGTTGAACATCGGGGGAGGAAGATAATAAAATATAAGTGTCCTATACCCCATTTATTATTAATATTATTATTATTATTATTATTTTTTATTTTGTCATTGACAAAAAATTCATACACATCACTCACACACACTCTCATTTTACTCATTTAAATATTTGAACTTTCATCATTTTTAAAAGAAAGAAGAGGCACCACTAGAGTGGTGCCCCATCCATGTTTTGACATACAGAGTATCCTGACATGTATCCTACCTTTAGTCCATGTCATTTGATCATTTAAGCATACCTTCAAGCACTGCTAAAAAATAAAGTAAAATAGTGATAGGAAGGACTACATATTAGACTCTCTGCATTGATCTGAACATACCAAATTTTAAAATATAGAGATTCTTCATTCAAATTAACAAAATCAATTTTTTTTTTTTTATTATTTAAAATTAGTTACATACATAAATTTAAAGGACAAACTTAATGCACCTCCAGTTATTGCGGAGTTTGGAAAGGGTCACATGTACGAATGACCATTAATTTAAGAATAATGCTTCTATTTATGTTAATTTTGGACTGTTTGCATTGGTCTGGACATACCAGTTTAAAAAAAGACAAAGTGAGAAAAACACTCATAATGTTTAATTTTTGGGCAAATATCACCCCTAACGTTTTTTAGGGTATATAAGTGCGCTAAGATTGAAAAAATAATTAAAGAAATGTTTGAAGTCACTGTTTGGTTACAAATTTAGTCACGTACGTTGCACATGATATTTTTAAGATATAAAATGCTGAAAATACCATTTACTCTTCCAATAATGGCCTGATATATAAAAAGGAAAAAAAAAAAAGAAAAAAAAAAGGAACACTTTAGTCATTTATCATCTAATTATTATTTTTATTTAGTTACAGAGGGACACTTTAGTCTTTTCAACATTCAGACCATTTGTTTGATCAAAAATAGATAATTAGGGATTTTCAGAAAGTATAAGGAGTTATACATTCTATATACATACTATATGAATATTTTTCGCTTGCGACCCTTTAAGGAATATAGAGATTCTTCATTCAAAATTAACAAAAAGCAAATTTTTTTTTTCTTTCAATTATTTGAAACCAGTTACATAAATTAATATGGCAAACCCAATGCACCTACCACCATTGCAGTTTGGGGAAGGTTACATATACGAATGACCACCAATTTAATGCTCCGTTTGATAGAAAGAAAGAAAATTGGATGGAAGGGAGAGGAGAAGAGATGTGTGAGGCATCCCTAGAAAATAGATTATATCATTCCCTTTTTTTGTTTGGTTAAATGAAAGAGAAAAGAATGAGATTACCTTCGCGTCTTCCATCCATATTTAGGGGAATGAAAATTTGTGAAGAATTTTGTCTTCCCCCCTTACCTCCTCTCTACTAAACGAAGAAGTTCGTTTCTTTCTTCGTATCTTCAGTCCACCTCTCTTTCTCATTTCCTACCAAACGGAGCATAAATATAATACTTCTATTTATGTTAATTTTGGACTTCCCATTCTTTCAAGTGGCATGACCTCTACTTCCTTAATTAGAAAAGCAAGGATTTAAGTTCTAAGTGGAACAAATGAGTGTTCGTTACCACAAAAAAAAAAAAAAAAAAAAAAAAAAAAAAAAAAAAAAAAAAAAAAAAAAATTGGGTTAATCATGTTATTTTTAGTTAATGGCACATAGATTAGAAAAGCATAGAGAATCATTTTAAGATTTACCAATTGAAGAAGATGGGACCAGAGCCAGCCAAGAAAGAAAGCTTTAAGATTGGGATGGGTTGTTCATACGAGTATTGAGAGTGAGGATGGTTTCAACTTTAAATTCAACACAATCTCGTGTTAGCAAGAAATAAAGCAAGGGAGGGGGACCAAACTAGGGCATCATCACCTCCAATGCCATTAACCACAGACCTCATTCATTGTGTTCCTTTGTGGGCCTCTCTTTATTTTTCTTTTACCCTATGTATTTTTATTTTTATTTTTATTTTTAAGTGGCCAACATAACATCTTACTTAATGCATCATTTGAGCCATACCAATGATTCAAATTTTTGTACCTCGGTCCCATAAAACACTACATTAACTTTATTATTTATCACTAACACAAAATTAACTACATTGCTCCTTGATTAACCCTAATTTTTCTCATACAAATACATGATCATATTAAGAATTTAGGCTCCGTTTGATATTACTGTATCAATAAATAGTGAAAAAAACGCGTTTGGTAAAAATTGTTTTATTTTGTATAATGCTGAAACGTTTCATGAATAGTGACCAAATATTGAAACACCAATTTGGTGTTTTTATATGTTTTCACACGGTAACATTTGGTACTGTAACGATGAACAGTACATTTTATTTTTAAAAATATATTTAAATGACATTTTTAAACTAACCATTATATTTTTCAAAATTGTAATAGTTTTTTTATCAAATATGTTTTCATGTTTTTACTTCTAAAAATCTCCTACAAATGAATATTACCAAACATACTTTCGATTACTATTCAAACACCTTGTTTTATTTTGAATTAAAACAAAACGCCAAATATAAAACGAGTACAAAAAAAGGCCCTGGTAATTGGATTTTTATGCCTTTTTTGCAAGATGATAACTTTGAACCCACATCATCTTTCACCATAATGACCGCAAGTTAGTATCAAAGTATCCACCCAAAGTAGCTATGGTAGATCCTAATTGAAGACATTATTTCACATACAGTGACTTTTATACTGAAACCCTTCTATTAATTATTCCTAGTTCGAGTTTTCAGCATTACCTCAAGCAATGATCTTTTCCTTCAATTATCAATTAAAAAAAAAAAAAAAATTATCCTATGACTTGAAATAGCAAATTCAAAATAAAAAAACAATCTCTTTACATATAAATAAGATAAAGTTACGGACATTTAATCCTCCTCACAAATAAAAAAGGTAAAACTACGTACATTTAATCCTTCTCAAATCCATAGTGATAGAAGTTCTTGCATTGAATTTGTTGTAGTTCAAACCAAAAATATAAATAAAAATAGATGAGAATTATTTGATGACTCAAACCAACAGAATCCTAAAAAGAAGTTAACTAGTCAACATTAACTATGCATGATCTTAAAATGTCTATTAGAAAATTGACAAAAATGAATTGGGTACTTATGATCACTAACACCGCATCATATTCTCTTAAATTTTACCATGGAGACATTCTCACGCTCACTGACACACACTGACTCTTGGATCGAACACATTCGCAATTTTTTTTTCTATATAAAGGCGCCGATCCTAGATAGACCTTGTCTGTGGGTCCTATTCCTTTTGACCAAAAGTCAAATCTTCCTCTCAATTTGTTCCTCTCTCCCCCTCTACAGTTTCATAGTACTCACTCCAGCCACACAAATGTAAACCGTATTTTTGTAGTTAAGTATATAAACAGACCCACCAATTTTAATCCAATTCACTACTTTTCTTATTCCTTCCCACGTTCCCTCATTTTTTTTTTTTTTTTTTTAATATATAAAACACCAAAGGAACATCTTTTTCAAAAGTTCACCACTGTCGTGGTTTGCACCAAAGAAATTCTCATCATACTAGTCACAATTCACACACTGTTTCTCTCTCCATCGCTCTATACTACCATACACACAACTCTCTCTAATCTGTGTTCCTGCAACTAGTTTTCTCCAATGGAGAGCAACCCACTACAGCTTTTCCTTCATCTCCCTCTCACACTAATCTTTCTGGCGTCTATTTCGGTTTTGGCAGCCGATCAGGGGGAGTTTTCGTCAATCAAAACTGATGCCGAGGCTCTTTTTATGTTCAAGAATACAATAGAGGAGGACCCGAATGGAGTCCTATCAGGGTGGCAGCTCAATACGAATCCATGCACTTGGCATGGAATTACATGCACTCTTGGACGAGTGACTCAACTCGATCTTAGCCAGTGTAATCTCGTTGGCAACATCTCTCTCTCTCCTTTTGCTTCTCTAGATATGTTAACTGTCCTGAATCTGTCTGCTAATTTGTTTACTGTAAATTCGACATCCTTGCTGCAACTCCCATATGGATTGAAGCAACTTGAGCTATCATCCACTGGACTTGCAGGTCTGGTTCCGGAGAATTTCTTCACAAAGTGTCCCAATCTTGTTTATGTGAATCTTTCGCATAACAATCTAACCAGTTTCCTCCCTGATAATCTTTTGTTGAGTTCTGACAAACTGCAGGTTCTTGACCTCTCTTCTAATAATATTACTGGATCGATTTCGAATATGAAGATTGAGAGCTGCAATTCCTTGTCGCACCTTGACCTGTCCGAAAACCATATAATCGATTCCATTCCCGTCTCCCTTTCCAACTGCACGAATATGAAAGCTTTGAATTTGTCATACAATTTACTCACGAGGGACATCCCAAAATCTTTTGGCGAACTCAACAGTATACAAAGATTAGATCTCAGTCACAATTATCTCACTGGTTGGATTCCCTCAGAGTTGGGTTCTGCGTGTGATTCGCTTTTAGAACTCAAGCTGTCTAATAACAACTTTACAGGTTCAATTCCCACCTCTTTTTCATCATGTTCTTGGCTACAAGTTCTCGATTTGGCCAATAACAATATGACTGGTCCCTTTCCTGAATCTATCCTTCAGAACCTAGGATTGTTAGAGAGCTTGCTATTGAACAATAACAAGATCTCTGGAACATTTCCTGCTTCTATTTCATCTTGCAAGAAATTGCGGATAGTGGATTTCAGCTCCAATCAGCTTTCGGGGACCATCCCACCAGATATATGTCCAGGAGCCGCTTCACTTGAAGAGCTAAGAGTCCCCGACAATTCTGTTGTCGGACAAATCCCAGCTGAATTATCCCTATGTTCACAGCTCAAGACGATTGATTTTAGCATAAACTACCTCAATGGCACAATTCCAGCTGAAATTGGGAAGCTTGAGAAACTGGAAAGGCTAATGGCCTGGTACAATGGCTTGGAAGGGGAAATACCAGCAGAGTTGGGGAAATGCGGGAATCTGAAGGATCTCATTCTCAACAATAACCACTTAACCGGTGAAATCCCAATCGAATTACTCAACTGCAGTAATCTTGAATGGATATCACTGACAAGCAATGGACTCACTGGCAAAATCCCACGGGAAATTGGTCTTTTGACAAGGCTAGCAGTCCTGCAACTAGCAAATAATAGTTTGAGTGGTGAGTTGCCAAGAGAGCTAGCAAATTGCAGCAGCTTGGTTTGGCTAGACTTGAATAGCAATCGGCTTACTGGGGAGATCCCATCTCGACTCGGCAGGCAGCTTGGAGCAAAAGCCTTGAGTGGAATTCTTTCAGGCAACACTTTGGTGTTTGTGCGGAATGTGGGAAATTCATGTAAAGGAGTCGGAGGCTTGCTAGAATTTGCTGGAATAAGATCTGAAAGGCTGTCACACATCCCATCACTAAGAAGTTGCGATTTCACAAGAATGTATTCTGGTGCAGTTCTAATTCTGTTCACACAATACCAGACTCTGGAGTATCTTGATCTTTCTTACAATGAGTTTCGTGGGAGAATCCCAGATGAATTTGGGGAAATGATGGCTTTACAAGTTCTAGTAATAGCCCATAATCATCTATCTGGAGAGATTCCCTCGTCACTTGGCCAGCTCAAGAATTTAGGCGTATTTGACGCATCACACAACAGATTGCAGGGACACATTCCAGATTCATTCTCCAACCTATCATTCTTGGTACAAATCGATCTCTCCAATAATGAATTAACCGGTGAAATTCCAGCAAGGGGGCAACTTAGTACACTTCCTGCAAGTCAGTACGCAAACAATCCAGGACTCTGTGGGGTTCCATTGTCTGAATGCCAAAATAACTATAACCGACCAGAAACAAATCCAAGCGGGGATGAAAGAAAAGGAAGCCACAGGACAACAGCTGCATCCTGGGCTAACAGCATTGTCATGGGGGTTCTCATTTCCGTTGCTTCGGTATGCATTTTGATTGTGTGGGCAATCGCGATGCGTACAAGACGGAAGGAGGCAGAGAAAGTCAAGATGCTACATAGATTGCAAGCATCCCATGCCGCCACAACATGGAAGATTGATAAGGAGAAAGAGCCGTTGAGCATTAATGTGGCGACTTTTCAAAGGCACCTGAAGAAGCTCAAGTTCTCACAACTAATTGAGGCTACCAATGGGTTTGCAGCAGCAAGCCTGATTGGGAGTGGTGGTTTTGGAGAAGTGTTCAAGGCAACATTGAAAGATGGGTCAAGTGTAGCAATCAAGAAGCTGATACGACTGAGCTGTCAAGGTGACCGAGAGTTCATGGCCGAAATGGAAACTCTAGGAAAGATTAAGCATAAGAATCTTGTGCCTCTACTGGGTTATTGCAAGATTGGCGAGGAGAGGCTTCTCGTGTACGAATTCATGGAGTTTGGAAGCCTTGACGAAATGCTTCATGGGAGAACAAGGACACAAGATAGACGAATTCTGACATGGGAGGAAAGGAAGAAAATTGCGAGAGGTGCAGCCAAAGGCCTCTGTTTCCTACACCACAATTGCATCCCACACATCATCCACCGCGACATGAAGTCAAGCAATGTATTACTAGACCAAGATATGGAAGCAAGGGTCTCTGACTTCGGAATGGCAAGGCTCATAAGTGCACTCGACACACATCTAAGTGTAAGCACACTTGCAGGCACACCAGGATACGTCCCACCCGAGTACTACCAAAGCTTTCGATGCACCGCAAAGGGAGATGTTTATTCTTTCGGAGTGGTCCTCTTAGAACTCTTGACGGGGAAACGGCCAACTGATAAGGAGGATTTCGGGGACACCAACTTGGTGGGGTGGGTGAAAATGAAAGTGAGAGAAGGAAAAGGGATGGAAGTAATAGACCCAGAGTTGATTTCAGCTACTAAGGTGACCGATGAGGCGGAAGCCGAAGAAGTCAAAGAGATGGTGAGATATCTAGAGATCACACTGCAATGCGTTGAAGACTTCCCATCAAAGAGGCCTAATATGTTGCAGGTAGTGGCCATGTTGAGGGAGCTTGTGGCAGCAGGTAGCAGTGGAAGTGCTTGAACCAGGTTATTTATTGATTGATCGTGATAGTGTAAGAAGATAATGTTTGTAAGTTTGGTTCTTAGTTAAGCAGTTAAGGTTTCCTTGTATTTACTTTAAACCTCTTCATCTTGTTTTGATTTGACTATCATCTAAAAACTGAATGAGACAAATTAATGACTCAAAAATGATCATACCATAACAATTTATGGTGTAAAGCACGGCTCTGAGGAACATTCAAAGATCACAATTCACATGTAAATTCAATTGGGTAAACTTGTTTTAGACATTTCATCAAACATGTAGCATACATCGAAGTGTTACCAAAGTGTCTACAGTCATCTGAACAATTGAAGATCAGGATTAGCAGTGAGTACGTTTTGCTAAGCTAATTTAGAGGACAGTTTGGGTTCAGGTGGTACCTGTGGATGTGAAAATTTTGTGGGTTTGAGCGAAGGTGGGACCAATTTGGCGGAAGAAGGAAGAGAGAGACTGATAATGCTCTTCAACAACTATTTTGATGAGTTCTGTTTTTCATTCTCTTCTGAACTCTCTCCTCCTCCTCTGTGTGACCCTCAATTTGGGTGCTCAAATTTCTGCTAGTTTAAGCTACAGAGTTCATATGTTCTGTGAGACAGCCCTGAAGTGTCTTCTTTTTTTTTTTTTTTTTTCACCCTGGCAAAGAAACAACAGCAGCCTCATCAAAGACACAATCTTTGGCTGCAATAGCAAGAATATCAGCAGGAATAAAAATTAAAACAGTATCCTCGATAATGTGCTGGCGGGAAAGCTTGGCAAGAGCATGAGCGACCTCATTACCATGCCTAAGAACATGGCTAAGTCGAGAATAAGATAATCGCCGAAGTGCCACTCGAATAACAAACGACACTGACTGAATCTCAACCGGACCACAATTATCGCTATAAACTGCCTGACCCACTAACAAAGAATCGCACTCGAACTAGAACTTATCAGAAGACAAAGTTGAGGCCCAGAGAACCGCTTTACGCAAACACATAGCTTCAGCCATAGTAGCATTTGAAGCCGGAAAAGGAGAAAAAACCACCGCATGTAAAATATGTCCCCTAGAATTCCTGAAAATAGCACCACCACCCCCAATATGAGAAACTGAAGAAAAGGAAACATCCACATTACATTTAATAATACCCTCTAGCGGAGGCAACCAATGAGAAGGGGAGGATGGGGACATAAAATCGATCTACCAACCGGATAAAAAGTCAAATCAACATCTGTAGAACTGACAACCTCCTTAAACTCCCAGAAGGAGGAACAAGCTAACGAAACCACCCTTAGCGGATCAAGAAGCCAGCCATCAAAAACAAAATTATTCCAAGCCTTCCAGATACCTCAACAGCAAAAAGCCACCAAACCTAAAACATCCTGAACCTCATTCTTCGATCCCGACCTCTCTACTAATGTCATCCACCAAGCCACAAACGATATAGGTTGGTCCACCGAAAAATCAAAACTTAAAGGCAATAATTTCCAGATCTGGATAGAATGAGGACAAAGGAAAAACATGTGTTCCGAGGATTCCTCCTCATCACCACACCTGGGGCACACGACATCGACAAACATTCCATGTAATCGTAGAAGGTGGCGAACCGATAGAGCAAGATGACAACATTTCCATAAAAAATGCTGTATCTTTGGTGGTAGTTTGCATTTCCATATGCTACGCCACAACAAGTGTGGTCGAGAAGTAAGAGTATCAGCAGCCTGGAATCTAGCTTCCCCTTGGCGCCCCAATCTAAAAGCCAAAAAGTAAGTGGACTTTACTAAAAACTTACCATTAGGCTCGCCATCCCACCCCAACCTATCTTCTCTAGAAAAGAAACTGAAAGGGCAACTAAGAATAGCTTGAACAATAAGGGGCGGAAATAAAGATTGAATCAAATTGACATTCCAACCAGTCCGCTTAGAATCAAATAAATCCCCCACGAATTTAGGAAGCACCAACTGAGGAGGTCGTATCAGCCTGCCAGTTAAACCAGGTACCCATCTATTATTCCAAATATTAATAGAGAGACCATTTCCCACAATCCATTTAAATCTAGCAGCAATGAGAGATTGCGCAGACCAAATACTGCGCCAAACCCAAGAAGGATTTGATCCCAATTGCACTTCTAAAAAGGAGCAATTGTGAAAATATTTGGCTTTAAAGATCTTAAAAGCCATCCCATTTTGGTGGACCAAAAAATTCCAACCTTGCTTAGCTAACAAAGCATCATTATAGGCCTCAAAATTTTGAAACCTTAACCCCCCTTCCTCTTTAGCAGTACACAAAAGCTCCCATTTAACCCAATTGATAGAAGCAGAGGCACCCTCTTTACCCAACCAACAATTACGAACATACTTCAGAATGGAATTACAAAGGTTACGGGGCAGCTTAAAGCATGACATAATATATGTGGGCAAAGCACTCAAAACTGATTTAATTAAAATTTCTTTACTTGCGGGAGATAAGAAATGTTTGGCTATGCGTTCAAGGTTATGAATCAACTGGCAAGTCTAATGTCATGTTGCGTGACTGATTTTTAGCAGAATGCATCTTGGACAAACACAAAGACAATTTATTGTTCACTAATACATTACGTAGTAAAAAATATTGTTTGGTCAAAGATTGATTCACAACTGTTATCTTCAAAAAGGAAAATGATAAGTATAAGTACAACATATATGACTTTGAGATGTTATTTTTTAATGACTTTGGGACTCCCTACCATAACTTTTAAAAAAATAATAATAAAAATTGTCTGAAAGGTTAAAACTATCCTACTTGTGTATATTGGACCAGTTTGTGCATGCTGTTTGCCTTTCTTCTCCCTTTTATTTTTCTTTCTTTTTAATTTGCCTCTAGAATTGATTTGTAAGGTAAATGAATGAGAATTTTATAATGTAGCCTTGTTAGAAATTTGTGTTTAATCGGCTTCTGGTGACACAATAAAAGCTTAGGAGTCGTGATGCATAAAAAAAGATTTTTTTTGGTCATTGGCAAGAAACTCAAATACCACTCACACACCCATTTTTACTACACATGATATTTTTTTACAAATTGCTTTAACTATTTTGTATTTTTAATAGTGGGCATTTTCTAGTCGCTTATGTTGTGTTTGGTGTGCAGAAATGAAAGCAATGCCCATTCTAATCATTCATTTGTTTGGTATGCAATTTAAAGTGAGAATGAACATTCTATTGAATAAAAATCCATTTCTAAGAATGAAAATCCATTCCATAATTAAACATATGCAATGACCATTCCATTCCTAAGTAATATTTTTTAAAAAAATCAAGTTCCAAAAAAACCCTCATATTCTAAGTCCAAAAACCACCCACCATCGCCGCCGCCGCCGCCGCCGCCACCATTGTCGCTGCTACTTTACACGACCTTCCACCACCGCCACTGCCACTATTGCTTTACACGACCTTCCACCACCGCCTTTCACCACCGCCACTACCATTGCCTTCCACCACTGCCACTACCATTGCTACCGTTGTTGCCGCCTTCAACCACCACACTGTCATCACTTCCACTACCTTCCACCACTGCCACTGACCACCGCCACCTCCATTGCCTTCCACCATTATCATTGCCACTACCATCGTCATCATTACCGCCACCACCACCGTCACCATTACTGCCACCACTACCGCTGCTGTCACCACCTCATATTCTACCACCGCTACCTTCCACCTACACCACTACTACTTTCCACCACTGCCACCGCCATCACCGTTGTCGCTTTCCACCACCACCACATCATCGCCGCCTCCACTACCTTCCACCGCTGCCACTTCCACCATTACCGCCACCCCCGCCACCACTAATCTCTACCACCGTCTTCTACCACGGCCACCTCCACTGCCACCACCATTGCCACCTCCACAACCTTCTATCACCACCACCATTCCACTGCCTTCCACCATCGCCACCTCTATTGCCTTTCACCATCGCCACTGCCATTGCCACCATAGTTGCCACCTTCAACCACCACACTGCCGCCGCTTCCACTGTCTTCCACCATTACCATTGACCATCGTCACCTCCATTGCCTTCCACCATCGTCATTGCCACCACCACCACCATCAACATTACCGCCACCACTACCGCCGCTATCACCACCATCACATTTACTACCGTCACCTTCCACCTATACCTCTACTGCCTTCCACTACCACCACCGCCACCACTGTCGTCATCTTTGTGATGACCCTGGATTTTTCAACCCAGTGTGTCCTGTGATGACCCAAAACGGATCCAAAATGCAGAAGCAAAAGATAGAACAATGGTCTCTAGAGATACAACACTCCTCTAAGACACCAATGTGACCCTCAACGAGGTCACGAAACCCAAAGGAAGAAATTACGGAAGCAACATTTTAAAAACGGATAAGAATAAACCTAAGGGCAAAATGGTCATTCCACACTAAAATGGGTGTCACCGTGTACACCATTGGAAATACAATGAAAAATTAATAAGGATAGACTCAAGAATCACTTGATTCGGAGTCCGGACGACAAAGATATCAAGTTCTGAAGTCGAAGGAAGGGAAACCCTATCCCGGTTCGAACCAAAAACAGACACTACCTTACTAAAACTTGAATAACTTAAGCCACAAGAAGAATCTAAAGCTCTAATTAGTACCATTGGAAAGCTTATTTTGACACGATCAATTTAGACTCAAGAACGGACCAATTCGGAGTTAAAACGAAGAAGTTATGATGATTTGAAGTCGGAGGTGCAGTGCTGAACCAAGACACACACACTGTGAACAGTACTTAGAGCGCTCGAACAAGGACTTCGTGCCTCAAAAATTTCCCTAAGAAATCTGCCCAAAGTTCGAGCGCTCGAACTCCCCATTTAGAGCGCTCGAACTCCTGTAGGCTGCTCTTGAAATGCTGACTTGAAATGCAATTTTGGAGACTTTTTAGGCCTTTTTGAGAAAAACACAAAGAAGAAACTACCCTCAAAATCATGTTTTCTAGCCAACCATACCAAAATAAAACTTTATTTCTCAAGTGAAAACCCCAAAATGCCCTTATGCTCAGTTTAGGCTCAAAACGGCAAAAAATGTAAGTTTGCACCAAA